AGAGACCCCAATGTGCCTCTTTTTTGTTCAGAAACTTTAATATAGGATGGGTCCATCTATCCAGATCCCTATTATAGTTTAGGAATCACGATAGTGTCTGAGGTCCAATGTTTCTGAAGTCAGGGCCAGGACCATAGGACCCTTCCAAACCCTTTGTCTCCAGGTATCACCTACTTGGAAACAGTCCCAATTGTTGCACCTGCTGGCATTGCCATCCCCTTCCTCAAGGGTGTAGAAATGACAAAATCCCACTGCAGTTGTCCTGCGTAACCAGTCACTGTTCAACTTCATACAAGGGGAAGGGTTAGGCTTAGCTCAGGCAGTGGACACTGTAGCTTTAGTGCTGAGATGTCCTTACTTGTATGATGGCTGTCAGACAAGCTAACGTGGCGGAGATCTCCAATCTGGCTGCCTCCATGGCTGTGTTGTTGATGTTTATCTCATTGGTGGTATGGTTAAAGTATTGGAAATCGGATTCAGGAGCCAGATCATGGCAGACGCTCCCAACGATAATGCTGATGACAGCAAAGGTGCCTGCAAGACAAAACAGTAACAGGTGACTTACATGTATGCAAAGCATCCCATCCTGAAAAGTATTAATGTAGATTGGGAATCACCCACCACTGCAATGCAGCCAGTTCTGTAGCAGAACATGGCAGTGGTTTATCAGTTCATGGTGCAATGCTATACAGCCGGCATCTAGGACCTTGATTAATGCACCAGAGAACAGGCTTGGTAAAACAGTGCCCTATCAGGAGATATGGTACAGCTGGAGGAGGTGCTCGGGCAATGACCGTAATTGGAATGTACAGACATTCAAATCTCAGAACTAAAAAGGGGAACTTACCTGGGACCATCTGGTGGATGCCACCTAGGATGAAGTAGGGTATCAAAGGGAAGAAGGAGGAGTAGAGTCCATTGATGGGAGGCAGATTGGCAAGCAGCGCAAAGGCCATCCCTGAAAAATGCAAGTGAAATTGACTTCAGATCTTCCATCTCAGTTACAGCCGTGGTCCCTGAGAATTCCCTTACGGGCACGGAACCGTGGCCCAGCAAGTTCTGCAGCCTGTCTTTGACAATGTACTAAATGCTTCAGGGGAAGATGCAAGAAAGCCCATAATGGACATTTACGGAGTGGGCTCCTGTCCCACGGCAGCAGGATCTACCAGGGATGCAGGACTCTCCTAGTAGTGACTCATCCTGTTAGCGGAAGTTAAAAATCTGCACAAAGCTGCTGCATCAGTTCTGCTGGGTCTTTGTGGCAAGTGCAGCTTGTTAACTCTCCCAGGCTATGAGATGTGACCCTCTGGTGAGAGGGAACTAGGGGCAGAGCCAGGATAGCCCTGCAGGGAAACCCAGGACGAGCCAGCTTTAAGGAGAAAGCTTTGGCTGAGGTTGTATGTTCTGTTGTTACTAATAAAGCCAACCCCAGGAAGGGGATAAAATCAGCCATCAACAGCATGTCCGGACTTTAATTGGAGCAAGGTGGGAATGTTCTCTCCTCACAGCTGCTCAAGGAGGGGGAAGTGACTTCCTAACCCCCACTAGGGAAAGGAAACCTGGTCTCACCTTGTGGCACTTGTATTGTCCCCGCACTGATTCCCCCGAGGATATCGGGCACAATGTAGTCTTTAATTTTATATTTGGGGAGCCAAACGAGTATTGGAAACAGACTGTAGATGATGACTTTGAACCTGGATGATGAACATCTAGAGAGGAAATGAACACAAGTAAGGAAGGAGGGTCCTGATAAGAAGCATTTCCCCTCTCTATGAGGTTTCCTATGCAAAGGACAACGGTCCTGATTTTCATTGCCTCTTGCCTTAGGAAGCCATTTACACGAGACCGGAGTAGATACGAAGCCAACCTGGGTATGAAGCATCACCAGTCTGATGTGGCAGTGTTCTGCACACGCTTCACACTGGCACAGGTGTTGACACAAGGAGCAGCGCAAAGATGAACCAGGCCTTTTACTCTTAGCTGCTATATTGCTGTGACCCAGATAGGGATGGGTCAGAACCATTTATCCAACCCATCCTCAAACTTTGGAGCAAATACTACCTGGATCAAAACTGTGTTCAATTCTGCTTCACACAGCAATACACCAAAACGGGAATCATAATCCAGATCTGCCTCTCTCCAAAGCTTTGGAGGTTCAGATAACATGGGATCTGGATCTGCCCCACTTTCTGACTGCAGTTCTGACCTTGCAAAATCAAAACCCAACCAGTGAGGTTTAGCATAATCTAAACTACCTCTGGTTTGCCCCAGCTCTGATCCTGGATTATCAGAAGCCTTGGACCAATACATTTTAAGACTAAGTCTAAAAACAAAGAATTTGCAGCTTTGTTGATCACATCCAGCAGACATAAAACTAACAAACAAACAAGTATTGGAAACAGACTGTAGAAGTCACATAAACTAATTAAATATTCCCGAATAAACCATTTGAGCAAACACAGGTTCTTGTGAAAAAACAGGGACGGACAGACATTCCTCAGAAGCTGCCCCTGATTATTAGCACAGGCTGAACGTCACACGTGTTGGAAAAGGAAAGTGGATCTCTAGGATTTGTATATTACCCTAGAATGCATGGTTGGACAGGGTTTCTATTTGAGAAAGAGCAGGTGAAGTTTCCAAAACAATTATAGGGATTTAGACACATATCTGCTATTTAAATTAGAGTAAGATCTTATGAACTGTTCAAGGATCTCAGGCAGTATCTTTCTTCAGTGGTTAGAACATAGGACTTTCAGGGTTTCTCTACGCAGGGTTTCTCTAGGTTCTGTTCTCCTTTCTGCCACTGACTCATTATAAGGCTTTAAGCATGTCAGTGAACCTCAGCTTACCTATCAGTCCTATGGATTTAACAATACATGTACAGCCTTCCTCAGTTAATGTCTGCAAAGCCCGGTGAGATACTTGGATGAAAGATGCTTTCTATATAAATGCAAAGCAAAAGCATTCTTCTGAGCACAGCCAGGCTGCCTTCATTTCTGGTGTCATGGCACAACTGCAGACTGATTCATTTGAAGTGAAAACCATAAACTCCATTTACCTTTCAATTACACTGCAAACCCAATCAAATATGTATTCATTACTCAGCTCTGGTTATTCCAGATGGATTAATCACCAGCGGCTGTGATTGCATTTTCTCCCTGGGGTGGTGCTGTTCCGTACTTCAGCGAAGTGAGATAGAGAGCAGATATTCCAGGGGCTTATTGAAAAACTTCCTCCACTTAAAAAGCACCTGGATGCCACCCAAATCTAAAGTCAACATGGGAACAGCCACAGCCTCTGAGGCATCAATGTGTCGAGTTTAACAAAGGCTCGCTAGCCTATGGCTTTGCCTATCCAAAGCCCAGAGAGCACCTCAAACAGCCGCCCATCTTGATTTCAGAGTACAGAAATCTTTCCACTCCAAATATCTGTGCTCAGTTAGCTATTAGCTTGCAGGGCCTGACTCTCCGTTACTCCATTGCTGTCCTGGGGGCAGAGCCAGGACTCTATACATGTTGGAGGAGTGTTAAAGTGGCTTTAAGCCAATTTTGCACTCCCTGTATTCTGAGGCAGGGCCCTGCGCCCAATGTAAGTGAAAGCAGATGGCCTACGCTAGACCCCGGGAAGCAAGGACAAGGCATAATGCAGTGCACTCCAGCCTTGCCCCCGATTCACTCCCTATGCTGGGAGCTGATAACAGGGCAGATGCAGAGCCCTTACACTAGGTCTATGCCAGTTGAGGAGTCCCTAGACACGTGGGGGTATTTTCAAGGGGCCATTTCTGATTATTTCAAGGTCATTTTATGCAGCTAGAGCTGCATGACAGAGCCTTTGTGTGTGTGTGAATCAAACCTCCAGAGTCGTGGGCTAGTTCACTGGCAGCTGGTTGCCTACCGCCCTTTGTGCCTTTGAAAAAAACTCTCTACTAATTGTGAAATTGATTAGAAAATTACTAACAGGTTGTCATTGCTTCCCCTATGCTGCAATGCCTGGTTGTAAAATGCCACAGGAGACTATTTATTTGCTTAAAAACATGTTTCCCCTGGAATTTTTTTTAATGGAAATGTTGTATTGATCTTAGGGTTCGCTTTCTCTCCTCCCCTTCTCTCCACGCCCCCGAACACCGCACTGCTGAGCCAAATCTGACCTGGCAACATGCTCCGAAGGAGACTCAGTAGCATTCCACATTACCTGAAAAGGTTCTTGACTTTTTCCCCAAGCGGGTAACTTCTCTTTTTCTTCTCAAACTCTTCATCAAAGAAGTTGACAGAATACGCAGCCCGGTCGACGACATAGCGAGGTCGGGCTTGGTTCATCTCGGTGTCCTTCAAATCCTTCCGAGATAAGACAAAGGAGAAGAAAGGAATCAACGTGAGCAGAGCTGGCCACCAAGTGAAGTTATAGGAGAAGAAGAAGAGAGACTTGGTCTAGCCTCCTTCATCCAGGCATTTAGGATTTCCTCTGGCGTATTCTGTCTCCTAAATGTCTTCTTTCCCCTTCACAAGCAGGCTTCTGGAGCAAAGGATTGTCTGTTTCCAAGCTGGGTCACCACCTCTGGGACAAAATGGATTTTTGTCACCTGCTTTATAGTGAAACTCATAAGCGAGGCAATGTGGTCTAAAGGAATGTGCACAGGACTAGGTGTCAGGAAGTACAGTTCTAATCTTGGCTCTGCCAATGACTTACTGTTTGGGCTTGGGAACGTCACCTGATCTTTCCATGCCTCAGTTTCACCATGCATAAAATGGGGTTAGTGATACATCATAGCACTGCTGAGAGGATTAATTAGCATGTCTGTGAAGCACTGTGCAGTGGGATATATTAACATTACGAGTACAGAGCAGCTTTCATCCAAGAGGTTCCAGCTATAGTGCCTCATTAATTCATCTACAAACATAACATCCTTAGTGTTTCATATTTGCATTTAGAGACGCTATTCTGTCCTGCTCAGAGCTGTGGGCTAATATCCGATTCCTGTCAGAAGCTGGGAACAATTTTCTCTCACACAGAGATGTAACAGTTGCTGACCTATTTGTATGATAATGATGCCGAACAGTCCTGTTTGACCAGTCCTATGCAATATCTAGGTGTCGGCAGGGGAAGATAATAAACTCCCCATGGCTCACTTTAGTGTAAACAAAGCCATCAGAGGAGAGGGGAGAACCATTATGAGCTGATGAGTCTGAGGGTGGGGAGGGGGAATGCATAAATTTGAAACAAGGATGTGGATAATTATTTTTGTCTGGCATTTATTTAAGTATGTCATTGCCCATCGCACACGCCGAGGGCGGGAAAGAAGCTGGGATTTCAGGGAATAGTTATCAAGAAATGAAATGTCCATTGCTGAAAGATGTGAATTCGGATTCGCAGGGCCGGCTCCAGGCACCAGCTTCTCAAGCAGGTGCTTGGGGCGGCCGCTCTGGAGAGGGGCGGCATGTCCAGGTATTCGGCGGCAATTTGGCGGACGGTCCCTCACTCTGCCTGGGAGTGAAGGCCTCCCGCCGAATTGCCGCTGCAGATCGCGATCGCGGCTTTTTTTATTTTATTCTTTTTTTTTGTTTTGGCTGTTTGGGGCGGCCAAAACCCCGGAGCCGGCCCTGGCAGAATCTTGTCTATAGCTCCATTCATGTCAATGGAGCTATGTAGATTTACGCCTGGACCATTGTTTCAAGAGACTGGGCACAATAGGGTCAGGTTTTGATTGTGCAAAACCTTGTCAGTGGATATTTGGGCCTTACCGAACCAAAACCAGAGTAGGTTTTTATCCAGATCCTGTTTTACCAGAACTCTAAATTTTAGAGGAAATCAAATAGAAGGTTCTGGAGTTGACCCATCTGTGTAACAGCTAAATCCAAAGTGGTTTTGGGTATTTCATTGGCTGTGTTTTAATTTAGAACCAGGTGCCATTTTACATCCAAAATTCTGGGAGTACTTGAATAACAAATTCTCCTTACGTCTGTCTCGAAATTGTTTTCGACTGGGCCCAGGAATATCCAGATCATCCAGTGTAAACTAGGATTAAGGCCTTGTTTGCAGGGGGAAATTGAACAGAAGTCTACAGTGGAATAAACTATTCCAGAATAGCTCCCTATAAGAACACTCGGTTCCAGAATAAAAATCACTCAATTCCAGAATAGTGCAATGATAGAAATAGCTCTGGGGTTCTCGTACTATGGGTCGTGACACCTAGTGGGGTCATGCAACCAACGGATGTAGTCACGGCTATCCTGAGTGTGTGGAGGACACCATTTTGCTCTGCACAGCATAACCTCACACATACGGTGCGTGCAAGGTCACGCTGCCCGGAGGATGCCATTTTTCGCTCCAGAATGGCATCTTCCATGCTGTCGGGGGTGGCAGGAAGCAAAGCGTCTGGAAATAGGGTCATGCAGGCAATAAGGAACTGCTGCGATAGCTCTTCCAGTCAATTTCCCCGTGTAGAGAAAAGCCTACATGACATTGAGCCCATCCTCTGAGAAAGCCTGAGGGAAAGGGGTGGTCAGAGAGAAGGAATAAAGGTTTCCAGAGGAAAAGCTATGTGCTGGCTGCATCGAGTATATTGTCAACACCGCAATCTGAGGCGTGATCGCAGCTTGGTTAGACATACCTGCTCTAGCTTTAACTAAATTAGCAGTGTAGACATGGCAGTGTGGGCTGTACAAATATGCCGGGCAACCTGGGCATGCGTTCCCATTGCTAGCCTGCTCTGAATCTCGTGCCGCCACATCTACGCTTCTAACTTTCAGCCACGCCAGTGCAGATACAGCTAGCCCTGGTATGTCTATTGAGCTGCAATCGTACCTTGAATTGCAGTGTAGACAGACCCTCGGTCTGGGAGTGATGCCATTAATGTTAAATGTTTTGGGCCCAATTCATCCCCGGGGCAGCCCACTGAAGTCAGTGGATGAATTTGGCTATTTGTACTTTCTGTGTATTTTCTGCACTGTAGCCCAGTCCGAGTTCAGAACGGAACTAGATTATCTCACGTGACTGCCAAAAGGAAACCATTTGCGTGAATGAGGGTGGTAGGACTGGGCTTGCTGTCTGGCATGCCAGGAGAAAAATCTCTCTGTCTGGGCATGTCTTGAGGTGGATAAAAACAATGTGACATCCAGGCCACAGATCTGGAGAGACGCTGCTCCTAAAATACCTGAACACAAGGCACATGGCCTGGGGCAAAAGCTAGTCAGGAAAAGGGAATCATTATAGCCTGCAAGGCGCTTTAGAGGCTGTGTATGAGGATTGCACCATGCACCACTGAAATGCAGGGCAGAAGATGGCACCTGTTCAGGAGAGCACATCAGCACTACCCAGCAGTTTGGGATGGGAAGCAGAGGATACTATATCCAACTGAACACATGGGATGATTTTAGGGAGGCAGAATGTTAATTAACACCCTCAAAATGTGGACAGAGCACAACCAGCAACACCCCATCTCTTGTGAACTAGGGCCTTGTCTACACTAGAAAGGGTTTGCTGGTACAGCTATATCAGTATTGCTATCCTGGCAAATCTTCCCAGTGTAGACACAGTTTATACCAGAAAAGAGCTCTTCTGCCTGTATAACTTATAACAGTTGTCAAATGAAATCAGCTATACTGGCAACTGCATCTACACCAGGGCGTTTGCTGGTATCAGAATGTCATAAAAGAAATCACGCCCCATCTGCTATTACTACTAGCAAACATGTCTAGCATAGACTGGGCCTACGTGAGGCTAGGACTGTGGTCTTCCATTATTCGAAAGATGGAATCCCAGCAGCATAGCCCCATTCCCAGGCCCTGGCTCAGTAGTGACTCAGGGGAAAGAGTGGTTTCCCTTTAGCGTGTGTGTCATCCCTGTAATCAGAGGCGCGATTGCAGCATGTGGAGACATACCCAAGAAAGCTTTGATCTAGCTAGCTGGAATAACTATCGTAGGAAAGCCATGGCAACGTGGGAGTGAAGCCCTCCCAGTTTAGGCTAGGAGATCCTACATATGTGCTCAAGCATCTAACTGATGCTTGAGCACATAGGCAGGCTTCCTAGCCTAAACGGGGAGGGTTTCACTGCTAGTGGTACCCGAACTAGCTAGTTTAAAGCTAGCTCAGGGTAGGACTCCACAGATCCAGAATCCAGGCCCTATAGAACAACTAGGCAGCAGACAGCAGCAGGCTGCCACCCAGTAGCAGCTGTAATTAGCTTGCACTCCACTGCCCATGACCTGCTATGGACACAGCCCATGGAAAGTCCTGCATCAAGGGGTCTGACCGGCAGCAGCCCCAGGACTCATCATTGGCTCCCCACTCGATATAAACCCAAAGGACATTTATGGCTGCCATGACCATCTTTTCTCCCTGTGCAAATCCTGGCTTTGACCTTGGTTCGATTTTCACTTTGCCTTCTGACTTGGACTCTGATCCTTGGACTCTGATCCTTGGTATCTGCCCTGGCCTGGAACCTGACTATGAAAGTCCTCTGCTACTTCCAGCCTCAGGTTTGATCCTACTCTGATCCTTGGCCTGACTGCCCTTGTTGGGATCCTGACACTCAGGTATGTCTCCATGTGCTGCAATCACACCTCTGATTGCAGCATAGATATATCTTTAGAGGTCTCCAAGTCCAACCCTGAGAGCTGATGAGATCTTAGCCCAAGGTCATATGGCTGCAGGCTATAACTTTGTACAGAGCAGTCACACACCCCTATGGGAGTCTGCTGTCCCAGCCTCCTAAACTGTGCTTTCCTTCCAGGCTTTCTCCAAAGACAAAGGTTCACGCTCATAAGAACAGAGCTGGAGGTGCAGATGGGACTAGACAATCTCAGTCAGACAGCGGCTTCCAGGCAGCCCACCTTTCACCCCAGGCAGGAAGATTATTGAGTGCAGTTGGGGTTTTTTGCAATGGTTTAACTCTTTCTTTCTCTGGACACTTCTGGCCCTACCCATATGGACTATTGTGGAACAAGCACTTGGTAAAACCAGGAGCCTAACAGATTGCCTGGAATGAGTATAGACCATGGCTTGCTCCCATCTATACTAGCTCCCAAAGCATTTTCCATTCTAATAGAGAGGGACGTTAATGGAGACCAATGGCTGACACCACAGCAACAGGGCTACTTTGTGCAGATGCGCCTTCTACATACCTGTCTAGTCAAGCCCAAAAATATCAGGCCAAGTGTGTTACACACCAGAGGACTGAGCCAGAGAGGTGCCAAGCATGCTCAGCACCTATAGCCTTTGCCCCTCAGGCTCGACTCTGCTCAGGATCAGGCCCTAAACATACTGGGTGAAATCCTGGCCCTGTTGGAGCCAGGATTACACCCATAAGTGTATGCCCAGAGGAATGACGTCACTGTT